CTTCAGGCATTTACCCTTTTATATACCTACTCACTATTCTACTTCTTTTAAACTCGACAAGTATGAGAAGTTTCTCAAGGGTTATCAAAGCTATGTTCGATAACATTTTGTAACAAACATACCAGAAATCTCTTAGTGGAAACACAACAGCTCAATATGGGCTAGGTCCGTATGGCAGAAACCTGTACACGTCATATTTTAACACGTGTGTAAGGCAGGCGGTGATGAGCTAGGGGGCTAAGCTTCATCAGTAGGTGGAACAGCAGAGGCGCATTTTTTCAACCGAAAGGTCATTTGTCATAAAGTAACACATATCTCAAATTAAACCTGGTTACAACACATTCAATAATAAATAGAATCCTCTCTTCACATTCTTAAATGACATTATCGGCATTTTTCTGAGTAGATTAACCAAACAGATTTATTCCCAATCGCTTTCCGGAGTTTGTACAAATTGTGACCATAAACAATATTTTAAATCTATTTATTGGGACTATTTATCTGGAGATCTCCATCATCATAATCATCATCATCATCGTCACCAACATCATCATTATCAATTGCAACAGCAGCATTGACACGCTAATATTGTCATTGTACGCCCCAGTGTCTAGACAGTAGACAAATAAATTATGAAATCAACATTCTTTTTTATTTTTTTCCAAGTTATATAAAAGTACAGTAAATTATAATTTTCAAAGAGGTGTCAATGACAATAACCGTCATAGACTTTGACCTTTGCAGTGAAATTATTACATGCATTGCATATCTGAAATGATGCATTATTATACCGGGAAAGCCATCAAGTTAACAAATCACAAATTTGTTATATTGGGTTTTTTTTTAATTAAAACACTAAAATACATGCAATAACCGTTTTTATTAAGGGATGATTTATGAGCATATCGTACATAAACTTAAGGGACTATCCCGATTAAGTATGAAATTTAAGCACCAAACTATATAGGAATGGTGTATTGACCTTGTCTCAAAATTTCAGCTCAAAATATTGAGTCGTTTGGACGTGAACGTCAAAACTGCTTATCCGGACCCGTAACCCTTTTAAGATTTCGGGTCAATTTTTTCGTTGGGTGACCTGGTAATCGATTCCAGTTTCTTGAGAGGTCTATACAGTGAATGACCCATGTGCTGTACTTGATAGCGGACGGTAAATGTCACCTAGACATTATTTTTATAAAAAAAAGGTCTGATTTTATCCAGACGCCGTATAATACAGTTTGGGACACTGGTCTCCATCTCCAGATGAAGACTGACGGGTTTAAGTTGTTTGCAAACGTATCACAAATATTGAGTTAGTTGCTCGGCCCGTAGGTAGAGGGTTTTGAGGCATTTTAACACAAAATTAAGCTGTTTTATTCTCCAAAAAAATATCGGGATTAATAAAATTCATTGTAAACTCTGCTTTTCATTGCTTTTTTATTGAATGTAATGGATGTGTGTTTAACGTCTCGTCAACCCAGTACTTGTCTTTTTGAGACTTGCATATGGTATTTTTTTATTCTGTGTCCAATTCGAGCCATGACTACTATTCTTCTTTTCGTCCCATCCGAACAACTGGACATACTTTACCTAACTCCATAACCGCTCGAATACGACGGTTCCATGACTTTTGAAATAAGCAGTACTTTACCGTAATTTACATCAGAAGCCAACTTGTCATTAATATTCGTGACTTTTAACTGTAACAACTGAATGCAAAGGACTTTGTGTGACATTTGTTGAAACGGGACCTAATATTTACTTTGTCTTTCTATCTTGACACGCTTGCGTCATTAGAGGTGTACTCCCAAATAAAACAGTATCATTATTGTATTAGCTCTTTGACTTGTTCACGTTTCAATTTCTGTTCGGCTTTGATCTCGATAAGGTTAATCAAATTTAATCATTTTATTTTCAAAAGCCAACAGAAAACAAAACAAAAATCTCGGAATAGAATTCGTTTGTTGGAATATACTTTTCTTAATGACTCTTCGATTTCATGACATTTAAGTGAGACCTTTTAATCTAAAGCGCACGTGTTAAACCACTTGGATTTACTAACCTTTTAGTACAACTACTCATATTTTTTATTTTGATACTGGCATGGGCGTGGTTCATCGTTCTTATTACTTGTATGCAACGCCTTTACAATTAAGACGATTTCGTACCCGGTACCGAATGACACAATATTATATGAAATGTTCTGAGAATTTCTATGCCATTTGTTTACCAAATAGTTGGGATAGAAAAGTGGTCATTTTAGTTATTGTCCACTAACCACGTACCGTCGCGTAAATAAAGCGAGTAATGTCCGAGTGGAGTTTAAGTCTAATGGCGAATACGTGTGGTATGTTATAGATCTATGGAGGTGGATTAACAGATTAGATGATCAGATATACTTACTGTCTTACATCAACTTATATACTATTTACATATCAGATTACAATCTCGTGAAACTCTAATAACTCACATTTACACTGTATCACTCAACAAAAAACCCTTGTAACTCATTGTATCACTTCACAAAATTAACAAACAATTTGGACCGCTGGACTTGAAGGACCCTTTCATCTGTCATGTTAACCATTCTTAGCATTCTGACATTAAAAGGGAACGAACCCAAATATACCGACTTCATAATGTCAGTAAGAAGATTGGTCTGTTGGTCCGGTCTTTAGGTGGAGTCATCCGTCTTCATTAGCCCTTCTGGTGCAGAAAAGTCAATTCATTTGGACTAACGCTTCCTATTCCATCATAAAAGACGTAATAAATATAATCTGATGTTTAAGGACAAATGGTTTACTAAGGGTATCCTAGCTTTAGGCTTATGAACACAAAGTCTAGGACAAGGGGGCATTTGACAAATCAAGTACGATCGACACGAAACTTGCAATGTTTTTCGCTTTGACAATAATTGTGCATTGATTGATGAATTTCGATTTTTGATATGACGTCACAATTCCAATATGGCTGTGCTAATATTTTTTATAATGTAGCATCATTAAAAATATTTTGTTGGTGAATTGTGTGTGTCTTATCAGTAGCTTATTGAATTTCCATTTTTGATATGACATCACAATTCCAATATGGCTGTGCTCACTTTTTTTTATAATGTAGTATCATTACAAACATTTTGTTGGTGAATTGTGGGTGTCTTATTAGTAGCTTATTGAAATGCAGTATCACGGAATATGAAACAATATAGATTCAGGGCGTTTGTTAGGATACATTTCATTTTATTGAATTTACTATAAAGGTTGCCTAAAACATCCAATATTACACCCTTGTGTTTATTCTACTTGACAATGTCATTCATTTCACAAATTAACCACAATTAATATTTGTGAGCACGGGTCTTGTTTTTGTTTTTCAAAAAAGGTCTCTGTATAACTAAATGTAGACCATGGGACCACCCGCCTTTTCTACGGCATTTTTTTTTTGTAGTGAATAAATTTTGAAGTCAGTTAGTTGCGTTCGTCTGCTGCATTAATCCATTTATCTTTTTTACAATTGATATGGATTAATTCAATGAAGAATCCCATTCAACATTTTTCGATGATCACCTCTAAAGTTATTCCCCTTTAATATGAATGCTTGCTAGGACTATATATACTGCAATTATTGACCTCATTCTGAGATTTACAAAGCTTTGCCTATTTCAAGGAAAAATCCTATCGATTTTCAATGCTTTTCAATAATAGAGTGCAGGGTTATTCCCCTTTATTACGATACATTGTTAGCATATTACCTGCTTCAATTGTCATCCGAAATTTTGAAATTTGTAGAGTTGTTTAGCTCGTAATTGCCCGGACGAAATAGATTCTGATAAGCGAATATGTGTCGTATAGCGCTCTAGATACCAAAGCATCGCTGTCTTATTCTTGTTGGGGCGCCTCTAAAAATCAAAATGTTTCAATATTCTTGACTCGTCTATTTGTTATTTTTTATCAAAATATTTATAACTGACCCTCTGTGAATTAAAGTGACACGAGATTACCTTTAATCCACGAGTTATGGACTGACTGGTTTTAATTTGATGACAGTTGGATGGACTGTGGTCTATGAATCAAATGTCAGCCTGTTTGATATCAAGATAAAATATAAAAGTTCTTTTAATTGTGATATACAATAGGCATGAGGTATGTAAAGTTAATAGATGTATATTACAATAACAGGCGGGGTTGGTATATATTATAATATTGTAACATTCTATAGAAACTATAATATACACGGTCAGTATATACAAAGCCACGATGTGGATGGCCATTTATTATGTTCCGTCCAGTTGAAAGCGTGACATGACAAACAATGACCGCCCTTGCTTAATTATCAGTAACTGGTCAAGTGGTCATTAATACAAATAAACAGGTTGACAGGCGTGCAATGTAAAGGATTGAATAGTTTAAATACACAGTAAACCAGATATCACTGGACTCATTAAAAATATATCACGTGGTTCTTAATTTTAACGTTAGGTGATCACCATTTAACTCTAAAAATAGAATAAATAAAATTAAATTAAATTGAATCAGAATTGTTTCTCTGTACAAAATTCGGCAGAAACTGTTATATATCTCTGCAAAAGACGTCTACGACGCGGTCGTTTACAATTTACGACATTTTCGTTGGTTTAGGAGCCATGGTGGCTCAGCGAGTAGGGCGTTGGTTCACTAAACTGGAGATCCCGTGTTGGATTTTAAGGCGTGGTTACCCCCTTGCTAATGGTACAGGGAAGAGAACTTGGCAACGTATAGTCGTTCGGTTTGGACGAAAAAAATAGGCCCCGTGTACACATTGGCGTCCACGTAAAAGAACCCCTGGCCGTTGGAATGCGATATAAGAGTAGGCCTTCATTAGCCAATCGGAGACGTGAAAACCCATTTCATTTAATTTCAGTTATATCTCTCCGAAGAAAGACGCCTACACAGAGTACGTATAAAATTTACAACTAGTTCTTTATTTTAAGTTGTATATAAAAACTGCATTTGTATTTGTTACAGCTAGTTGTATAAAAGATGGTATAGCGTATAATCCAGGCTCTGTTTTAGAAGACAACTGCAATAAATGGTAGGTCAGGATTGACTGAACTATATAGTTCTGTATTTATTTCTCAATATGATGTCGACCCAAATTGACACATTTCGTACATGTGGAAACTCCACGTAGTTCAAATCTCAAAACTGAAGAAGGTCATATTATTGTTCCAAATCTGCATTTGAACAAAACAGAAATTGGTTCATGCGACATTTTTTTGTAAGCTATACAACATCCTCTTCTTGGGATTCTAAACCACGGTGTCATATACAACACCTGTTGCAATTAGTTTCAATACTTTAAGACCACGAGCCACCGTGGATTCATCTCTTGGGATGGACTGCGGCCCATCGCCTTATTATCAATTTAAGTAATTCAAACACCGGTTTGAAAATTTTTCACAATTCACACCACTTCATCAATTTTTTGTATTTAAGTTGAAAAGATTTGTAAACGACATAACATTTCATTAAACCAGTTAGCCGTTATGCTATCAAGAATTATGTAAATTTATATTAATTATATATGGTTCTTACAGAACATCTTAGGTAATGTTGTATTTATTGTTGTATTTTTCAGTAAATGTTTATATTTAACTAATCCTTATGCAAGATATGAATGGAATTGTACCAATCATGTCTGTATGTTACAACCTGATCTTATACGTGACGTCAATGAAGGCTTTCTCAGGTAAATAGAAACACTTGTTATTTTAATATTGAGGATTTGTTATCCAGGAATAATTTATGTCAGCTTGGTAATTTGCGGGCTTATGGGAACCGTAGATGCCGGTCGTGTATTTTTCGGACAATATCTAATTTTTCACGGTTTAAAGGAATAATTTATGTCAGCTTGGTAAATGGCGGGCTTATGGGAACCGTAGATGCCGATCATGCATTTTTCGGACAATATCTAATTTTTTACGGCTTATACCACGCTATAATGTTCTGAAATTACTTATTTACTAACACGAAAATATCAACAATAGATAGTCTACCGGTTTGAGATTAATCGGAGTGAAAAGAGGCCAGCAAAAGAGTTTACCCAATACTTATAAGTTACATAAGTTACCTTAGATCAATTGCAAAGGATGCCAAATGTTGTAAAATTTGCCATATATCATAACTTTATAAAAGCTGAAGAGACACGGTGGCTCAGTGGGGAGGACATTGGCTCGCTAACCCAGAGGTCCCGTTTTCGATCCTTGCGTTGGCCGCGAAAGTTTATCGGGATTTTCCGGCGTGCTCGTAAAAGAACCCTTGACAGTTGGAATTCGAAATAAGAGTAGGCCATAGCGCCGCTGTCTGGGCAAAATTTCCCTCATAGCACACTGCATGGCGTACGCCCGTCTTCATTAGCCCAGTAGGAGCAAAACAGTAGGACGTTAAACCACATTTCATTTCATTTATAAAAGCTGAACGATAATAAACCACTTTTGGACCAATATTCCCTTTCGATATTCATCTTTCTTTAAAAAAAAAAAAAATAAATAAATGAAGATCATGGGCTTAAAGGATATAGTCCTTCAAATTGTAATTCTAGTCAATAATCCAGTGCTCTGACAGGTCGACTGACTACCCCGCCTGACCGCTCGACTGACTACCCCGTCTGATTGTTCTGGACATCCACCTTTTCTGTTAAACGTTACATTATATTTTAGTATGTTTTATGACTTTCAGTTGGAATGCTGGAAACTATTCTGATTTCTGGGGGATGACGTTGAATGACGGCGTAAACTATCGACTAGGAACATTTCCTTTAGATAGTAAAGTTGCCAGGATGACATCACTCAGAGTTCAACTAGATGAAGTACTTCCGGAATCATTCGATGCGCGTGTCAAATGGAAGGGTCTTATTAATCCTGTAAGAGATCAGGGTAACTGTGGTGCATCATGGGCTTTCTCAACTACCGGTAAGATTTCTTAATTGGCATATCTGTATTTAAATGATATAACACAGATACGTGCAAAACATTCTAAGAATTTAATTAACGTTTCTTAATGAACGATGACAAACATGCATTTAACATGTAGCTAGATTAAAACGGTTTATGTTTTTTAAACGTATGTTAACTGCATTAGTTAAAGAGATTAATATTAATTCTAAGCTTATTTTAAATACCGACATCTGGTGGAACGTTTGTTAATGAGCGTTGAGAAGTTATAGCTTTTTAAAAACGGTTGATTTTGTAAAAAAGCATATTAACTCTTATAGTTGGAGCCATACATTTTAATTTAAGCTTCGGTTAAAGGCCCACATCTACTGGTACGTGATGAAAGAAAACCACCACAATTAAATGCATGTGTGAAATATCTTATCATCAGAAAAATACACGAATTGAAATTATATGTTTTTTTAAATTTATATTTAATTCACGTTAATGAAGACATGAGATGTTCCTGAACCATTATCCACTCCTATGCGAAACAACACATTTTAGGTCTTAAATTTACTGGTAGCTTTATCTTCCAAAATATGTATTACTTCCAAATTAGGATAATCCAACAAATTGTCATATTCTGTCATTAATAAATCACCCCGGTAGCAAAAATTTGAAGCTAGGGCAATGGACAATGACCATATTACACATCATAATCAAGCAGGGGTTATGATTAGGGTTAGTTTGATGGAGAATTCCCGAAATCTCTGCAAGGCTTTAAAAGAGGATATAAGTATATGAATTATTTATGGTTTTATTTCAGCCGTGGCATCCGATCGTTTAGCTATAGAATCAGAAGGTGCTATAAAAGACGAGTTATCATCTCAACATATGATATCATGTAATATTGGCAAACAGAAGGGTTGTAAAGGTGGTAACCTAGACAGAGCTTGGTGGTATCTTAGAAAAGTTGGGTAGGTATTATTTATATACTAGTAAAGTAGTAACATACCCTGTCTCGTATACGACAATTGTCACTATTTATAGCAAAGTAACTCAGATTTCGTTGTTTTTAAAAATTCCCAACTACTGTTTCGTTGACAATTCTGCCATCTTGAAGTAATGGGCGTTAACATATAATGGTCATCCGTCATCTGAAAATGAATTTTCTGTGACGTACCTATAAACCCCCAGAACGGAATGGGGTGAATCTGAAAATACTACAAAGTCTTCTTGCGGAAGTGACAAGGAGTAGGGTCGCCTGTCCAACCTTGTGGGTTTTCTCCGGAGGCTCCGGTTTCCTCCCACTGCTAAAGACCCCTATGAGCAAGCGAATTATGGCAATAAAATTGAACCATAAGTTAGTCCCGAAATGACCTAGTATGTGTCGAGTGGACGTTAAACCCCCACTCTCTCTCTCTCTCTCTCTCTCTCTCTCTCTCTCTCCCTCTCTCTCTCTTCTTGCTGAAACATTAAACACCAATTTGATTGTACAGATGTAGGATAGGGGTGAATCTGTATATGTTACACCAATTTGATTGTACAGATCTAGGATAGGAGGGAATCTGGAAATGTTACAAATTCTTCTTGTTCAAACATTAAACATCAATTTGATTGTTCAGATGTAGGATAGCTGGCAATCTGTATATATTACAGAGCCAGTGTGATTGTTCAGAGCTGGGAATGGAGGTGGTCTGGAAAAGTCTTCTAGCTAACACAATAAACATCAATTGGGTTGTTCAAATCTGGGAATATGAAAGTCTTAGAAAAAGAAAAATGTTACAAGGCCTTCTAGCTAACACGATAAGCATCAGTGTGGTTGTTCAGATCCGCTATTAACAGGGTTAGCCAATATCGATTTGAGACAATTTATACACCCATTCTCTTTCGAATTGATGTTTCGTCACACGCTATTAACATCTAAAAATCCACAGTAAATCTCACACTATCTTCAGCTCTTGTGTGAGAGAAAATAAAAATAAATGAAGAAAGATAAGCCTGAAGCACAATACAATCTGTTTTGTATTTAAAGTATTAAAACCTGAAGTAGCTCAGTCATTTTGTTTATAGAACAATGTCCGTTATTATAATTTATTTACTCCAGTTTACTATCATTAGTGACGGACTTTGTCTACAAGATGAAGTATGCTTTTTATAATTTTTAATATCGCTTCTAGATTTTGTTTATTTGGAAAAATTAGGGTAGGCCACATCTACATGGGATGGAATGGGGTTAAAGTCTTCTCAAAGTAATACCTTTGAGACTAATATATGGTAATTTTATTTTCTAATGTTACGTGTACAAAGCAAGTTGAGACCTTCGCCTAACCCAAATGCCAAGGAGTCTTTAACGTGCACAGAAATGTCTAAACCAAGTCTACACCAATCGAACTCGTTTTTTCGTATACATGTAATATATTTCTAAAAAAATAAAATAGAAACACCAAAGAAAACAACTGTTCTTTTTGCACTGCATAGCACCGACATAAATTCAAGCTACTTTGACACATCATTCGTGCTATTAAATGCGATATTACCGGGTTCCGGTTTAAAGTGTGACAAACCGCGTCATATATTATTCAATTAAAAATGTAAATGTTAACTTGTTAAACTGATTGCATTATTCAAAATGACATCTCCGATAAATCTAAAAGGTTGACATTTTGAATAAAATTATAAAATGAACCCATCCAACAGTTATACCGACTGGCAATTATTTAATCAAAGTTTGAAATATGGGACAATATAGGTTGATAAATTGAAATGAAAATGTTAGCAATTTTATTTTAAAATTTGACTTAAAGACGCAATGGGTCCGATACACAGTTTCCTTTCTAAAATTTAATTTAAAACAATTTGGATTGAAAAATATACTAAAAAGATAGTAATTCAGCCGATTAAAACAAAAGACCGTGGTTAGATACTATCTTAGCCTCGATGTTCGTGGATGTACATTTTAGCCTGGGATATTGTGCCTAACAAACATAGTAAAATGGCGGTAAGATTAACACAGATATGCATCCATTGCTAATGAAAACGTAGCTGCCACTTCCATCTCTAACGTAAGATGTCATCAGCTTTTTTGGTATTTAGCTGTAATTTCTTGGCATTACAACTGTGATCAACCTATGCACGTTCACAATTTTAATATACAAAGAAAAAAACATCAGCATCTTTTTTCTTTTATCGGTATCTAATTCATATTTTGCCCCATCGTAAAGAATAATACAATAAGGTCAGTGCTGGTGGATTAGTTTTCCAAACTGTTTGAAGCATAGAATGAACAGAAATGGCCCGAAAATAGACCCCTGAGGACCTCCATAGGAAATTGACCCGTATTTTACCATGTTATTTTCAGAGTTGTAACTGAAGAATGCTACCCATATACAAGTGGATTTAACAATGATCCAGGTGTGTGTTTGATATTGAAAAAACAAAAGAATGGAACGTGTCCAAGTAAGATTGCTTATAAAGACAGCCGACGTTATAGGGCAACACCACCATACAGAATTGCCCCAATTGTAAGTAATTTTGACTTTTATATACTTACCTTAGTTTTTTAGTGGCCCAACACAGGTTTTGAGGTTTTACGTCCAATCGACATAAACTAGGTCATTTCAAGACTAACGTATGGGAATTTAGCCGTAGGAGAAAGCCGGAGGAACCCAGAGAAAACCAAATAGGTTGGACAGACGACCTAACTCCTTGTCACATACAAGTGTGGGATCGAAACCACGCCACTTGACTCAATAACAGATCGTGTGATCTACAGCGCACGCGTTAGGCCACTCAACCTCACAACCCTCTCGGGATAAAGAAAATTGATGAACTTTATTTTAAAAAAAAACTGTTTAGGGTTTCTTTGGAATTCCGATCTTTAAAATATTCAGAACTGAATTACTCTAATCATGAATGTTGTGTTTTATGTATCAAGAAACAGAGTGGCTTACTTCCAGATGCACCCACTCAGAACTAACCACGAAATACTTATAGCTAGAAAATTAAATACAATCTCCATTTTTCCATGTTTATTCTCGCAATAAGAGTTATTATTTTTCTTGATTTAAACAAATTGAAAGTTTTATATAACAAATACAACCGTGAAATGTGTGTTATTATTCCCTCCTAACATATCACGTACCCGAAGTCTGAGTATTACCAGTCGCCATGATGACAGATATACAGGTTGCAGTAATGTCTACGTAAAATATGCTTTCGCAGACACTAAACAGCATGCACATCAAGATGGTATTTTCACTGTCCGGGTTCACCACAGCAATTTGGCACGTCTCAAACAGAAATAATCTGCAGGCAGCTAAATACATGTGTTACTAGATAAAATGATTGAAATACTTATGTGTCTGATAACGTTGCATGTACTCAGATAAGGACAAGTTGTTCCCCTGTCTATATAAAGTAGTCGAACATTTCTCAAGTCTGCGAAGGTAGTGGAGCTGCTGGAGCATCGATGTACTGAATTCACATTCACAGAGAGAGAGAGAGAGAGAGAGATTAACGTCTACTCGACACAAACTATTCCGGAGAAACCGAAAACCCGGAGAAAAACCACGAAGTTAGACAGGTGACCCTACTCCGCGTCTCGTTCAAGCGGAGAATCGAAACTAGGCCACTTGACTCTATAACAGACCCTGCGATTTCACGCGCACGGGTTTAACTACTAGACCACATTTCCCTTCACATTAACTGATATATGGGCTAATAGGAAACCAAAGTTAAGTGGGTTTACAAACTTTTACATGACTACATTGAATGTGTATTGTTGTCTATCATCCGGTATCTGTCCACAATTTCTTGAGAGCACCTACGGGTTAATGTTTTTAACAGATATTTTTGGACCAGGAACTCATCCTGTTCTTGTTGTTCTTCTTGGGAGCAATGTATACTTATTCGTTGGACAGTTGCGCGCCGATTTCGATTTTTGATGAGTTCACAATTCCAAGATGGTTTCGATGACGCCATACACAGTTTTTGGTCCATGACACGCTCATACTTGTTTTCAAAGATGCAGGGATTGTTCATTGAGTCTTAAGGAAGAACCCGGTCGAGACTGTGATCACAAATCGCGGATCACAAATCTTCCGTTTAGTTTCAAATCTATGTTATCTTGTGAGTTTTGATCCCAATACCTATCGAATTTTCAGATTGTCAACACATTTTACAGAGTTATTTCTCCGTTCAACTTGTGAGTACGATACATTACAAAGTTCTCTGGATTTAAAAAAAAATTGCTGAATTGGATTTATTGTCATTGATTTTGGGGCTAGCGTGGATGATCTTGCTGCATGTGGATGTATTAGCAGACATGAAAACTACCCATCCATGTTTGTTTTTTACGCCAGAGGACGAGAATCATAATTTGAATAACCTGATCCGGTGACCTTAAATAACGCCCAACAATTCTGTGTGATCGTAAGCTACTAGTACACTATTAGATACTATCACTAGAAAAGGGTGTCTCTTGGAATATTTGAGACAACTGTTTGATGTAAATATCTCTAAGATACCCGACTAGAATGATTGATCAGTTGATCTTGGGACTGTGCCTCAAATAAAATAAGCCGGGGTTCCAAATGATCCAAACAAAAGCGCTCACCTTTCATTTACAATGTTTTTTTAACGGGGTTTTTGCAGGGAAACAACGACTTCTTATGGAATGGGGCTTCTGTCTTGATTGTCGCGGCTCTGTTCGAATTTTGGTAAAATGGAACTATATTCAACCCTATATATTCGTCTTAAGAAATTAACCATAAATGTCATAAACTGACAATACATTAACACCAGAAAGTTTCTATCGTGAATGTATGGAATGTTAGAACATCTAGGTTATTATAGTGAATTTGAAGGGTAACGTTCTTTAATATGAACTCGTCAATGCACATTGTTTCTCTGAGACTTTTTCAAATAAGACACAAGAGTTAAAACAACGTTAGTTTATTATTACACCACAGGCTGAAGAATTGTAAGAAACAAGGGAAGATGGATATAAAAAACGATTCGTCTATCACCTGTGGCATTTTATGATCTTTCACATGTAAACAGCTTAGTAGTAGTTTATTCGAACAGACAAGTTGCCATTCTTCCACATTGTAACACATTTGCTTACACTGCATAAATTGATTCAATTCTTCGCGATGCTCTCTGTACAGGTGCAGAACAAATAGAAAGGTAGACCGGCGAATATTAGGCGTATTAAAGAAGTTGTTCAAGATTGTTGTCTATTTATACACGTAGATTTATGTATACTGCATACTTACCTTGTAAATGGAATGAAATGAAATCGGATTTTATATCTGATTAATGAAGGAGGGTATAGGCAATGTAGTGTTCCATGAGAGAGATTTTTCCTATTGCATGCAAATGTTTCAGGTCAACTTTCCTAAAATTCCAACAAAAAGGGAAAGCAACTAAAATGGAACAGACGTCAGAGAAGAATTTACAAATCAAAATGGTGTCCCTGTTAATGCCCTTACCCAAAGATTACCTTTTAACAGATATCCCCGGTTATTGAAATCTACGTCTAAACTATTGCTACAATAACCAATGGGTGTAGCGTACATGAGAAGTAGGGGAGAAGAGGGGGAGGGGGTATTACCCTTACTCCCTGTCACCAAAGCCCTGTATTCGCTCTGCACTTCAAGAGTTTGTGACAACTTAGTTGATTTGTTCATGAGCGTATTTTCAGTGCCTATGTCAATGCTATTTTGTGATTCCATCAACTAAAAGGGTTCACTTACACCGCATCATTATAAAGTAAAAGAAATCTGTACTAAAGCCAAGGTCCTTGATGCCATTAAAATGAAATGTTAATACTGAGCACATGTTTCTGTTCGGGTTATATGGCAAGTTTATTAAGTTCTGTCAGCTTGCATGGTTTTAAATATTACAAATTACGCTCTGCCAGCATTTTGCGTTTTAAAAAGTCTAAACAGAACCCCCGGACTGCCTTCTTTATTCTATTGAAAAACAATTTTATTGTTTCTTGTGCGGTGATAAAACATCTCATGATTCCCAGTTCTCATGAAGCATGTTTAGAATTTCAATAAATGATTCCAAACTTGCCAGTTGTTGTTAATTTCTTTATTTACACTGTTCAGTTAGTTTCTGTTTGATGTTCCCTTGTTTAGTTGAAGAAGAATATGTATTCCTTTACACTTCCAGTCTTAGCGTGTAATTTGAAAAAAAATGCAAAAATAGTTTTACGAACTAGAACATCGTATTGTATTTATGCTATCAGGAATTTTTCTAAGACAGAAACTGAAAAGTTAATGCGTTAATTTCGAGCATAGAAGTTTAACAACAAAACGTAATTTATTGTCTAAAAAGGGGATTTAATTTCGTCTGCAAAGTGGTGGGTAATAATACATAGATATAGGCGTAAGGATATTATATGTACCTGCATCATACGAACGTTACGCTGTCTATCTACGATTAGCACCACCACAGAGAACATTCACGGCGTTAGTTGACCGACATTTCCGAAATTGCCGAGTTTTGTCGAAAACACCAAGTATATTTCGAAAATTTTGATAATTATTTATTCGGCTTCCATTTAATAGAACTGGAAAGGTTTAATTTGTCTCTTTGTGTGTATGACAGATGTCAAATAGTATACAAAAAAAAGTATACGAATTTTTTAATATGGCGGCCAAGGAATTTATTCTTAAAGTAGATAGTTCTATGTGTGCAGAATGTATCCCGCGTAGCACCGCGTCGTCATTTGAACAGAATAAATTAAACCTTCCTATCAATTTGGAGATCTATCTTGGGACTTGCTCTGACCAAGAATTCTCAACCTGGTTGGTTTTAGGCGTGGCTTAAGGTAAACAAATAAACACAGGCAGACGCTGGCTGGTTTCACGTATTACATCAGACAATAAACAACATATTGTAACATTTTACACATCGCTAAAGGCTTGGGTAATATATCGGTAACCTCCCTGAAGGAAGAAAACATTACTAAGTCTTCATCCGTTTACCAGATGGCAAAACTTAAATCAGTTAGTGAACAACGGATCAGTGGACCAGTGGTAGAGAATGGTATAATACCCCTGTGTTGTAGTATCATCTATCTATAATTACCCGCCCCTGTGAGCTGTAACTTTATATTATCTATTGTCTTCACAGTGGTGTTTGTTATCCAGACCATCTTTTGTCCTAATCCCACCATCGCCTATATGAACTCTCACCCGACACTAAAAGTTTCCCGCCAATTTTATTATTATTTTTGTATCATATTTGGTGATTTCAGATAACTCCCCGGTATATAGTCTTTTCGGTAAATTATGTTGAATTTTTAATTTTTTGGTTTATCCATGGACCTTATCTTCATTGTTATTGCCGTTTTTTAGAACGTTGTCTGTGATGTTAAGTTATGCAAAAAGATTAAAATCAGACGCCAATTCTTTTCGTTTTATTTCTTAGATCGTTTTACATTGAAGTGTAAAGTCAGAACGAAATAATATGTGGTATCAAATTAACCAGCATGGCCAGGATTAACCAGCATGGCCAGAATTTATGAAGGTCAAGGTCACAGATTGGGGCCCGGATGAAGCTGGGTATCCAGCTAGTTAATACTATTAAGACAATTAATGTACCATAGGTCCCGTTTCACAAAGTACACACGAAACTTACCTACACGCAAAATGCAACATTTCTTACGTTTCGTGAAACGGGTCCCACGAGTTAGGCGTGTCACAAATGCGCACTGGAATTAAGACGATCCGCCATATCCCACTCTTATCATTTTTAGATGTAAGTAAGACACGATTTACTTGTAACGCCATTGTTGGGTTATAAACGACTTTCCTTCCATCTGATTAATAACCGATATATTTAATGTTTTGAGGGGTGTTACGTTTGTTCATACATGAATATATACTCTTCAAAAAAGGTAGAGGATATTCAGAAACAATACAAAACTGCGGAAATGCACTGCTGTTTTTATTAGAGTTAACCAGTGTATGTTAATAACAAGCCAATTGTCTACACATGAACATAAACGGTTCATATGGCCCCATTTCACTCGCAAAGAGATACACAGTCAAAAGTGAAAATGGACGTTTTTGATTTTTGTCTTAATAATGAGTAATTGCTCCACCAATCCTCAGACATTCATCAATTCGTCGTGGCATGCTCCTAATCAACCGTCCAATCACGATTTGGGGCAATTATGACCCACTCCTCTTGCAGAGCCGCGACCAATTCTTGCAGTGTTGTCGGTTGACGTTGACGTCGACGAACACGTCTCCCGATCAAATTAAACGTAACACACTAAAGCAAAGATACGGTAAACAGTAAATCTTATGCAAGAACCGATAGGAAAGCAAACATGGAATATAGATAAACCAGCACGCGGCAGTTTTCATCAATCCTTCCTTGAAGTGTCAAATTTGACAATGAACCCCTCCCACGTGTATAGCGCTATTGCGTGTCGCATGTGCAGCTCAGTGGTTCTTCATCTGTGAACATACTCTTAAAGCATATCAAGTGTCCATGACTATTTATCATATCACAACCTGCATAGGTATTTGCATTTCAATATCCCCTACTTTTTTTGAAGCGTATATTTGACAAAATATATTTCAAAAGAGATTTAAATATTGAAATGATATCTGTATGTTCTATTATAGGAGAGAGAAATTATGAAAGAGATAATGGATAACGGACCTGTTCAGGGTAGGTACACTAAAAAACTACATTGTCGTGGTTTCCCCTTGTCAGTGATGCAGGGCGGAGGGCCTGACAAGGACAGCTGTCTAGTCGTTCGGATGGGACGAAAAGCCGAGGTCCCGTGTACACATCGGCGTGCACGTAAAGGATCCCTTGGGAGTTGAAATTCTATATAAGAGTAGACGGTAGTGCCGCTGCCCAGGCAAAATTTCCCTCATAGCACACTGTATGGCGTATGCCCGTCTTCAATAGCCCAGTTTAGGAGCAGAACAGTAGGGCGTTAAACCCCATTTCATTTCATTTCATTTCAAACTACATTGTATACATTTATATTTCTATCTTCATCATAATAGAGTCGGGGAGTCGTGATATTAAATCGCTGATAGATTCCGTTTTTGGTTTAAATAGGTACTTGGGTCAGAGAAGGTGTTAGGCAGGGGGATTGTATTGTGGTGGCGTCCAACACTCCTTTTTTTTGTTTTTTGTTGGTTTTTTTTTTGCTTCCTCAGTGCATACAGTAAATCTGTTATCTAAAATGTGTACATTAAAAAAAAAGATTAATCATACACAGAACTGATGCTTTTATTCCCTTCTTGCCCCACTGAGCAGAATCCCCGGACCTTGACATCGATTGTCTGATAGATAGCAATCCCCATTGTGTGTCTTAAGATCGTAACCCATGAAATATATAGTGTTAATCTATTTAATCTTGGAGTAGCTATAATAAGTTGTGTGCTAAGTTATTCAAGTCATAGATTACACAGGAAAGGTCCACTTTAATATCAACTTAGTCCCGTCTTTATGGCTTCCTCCCCGATAATAAGAACAACCTTAATGCGATTTTAATTCACTTCATACGTGCTGTAATCCTATTTAAAATGCGGCGGATCTTGAGAGCTACTAGGGTACTGTCATGATGCTCAATCCCTTCCACACCCTAAAAATTATCCCCACTGTTAAAAAAAACAAACAACAAACAAATATAGAATATTGAGCTATTCGACAAGATAATAAAATGATCAATTGTATGTGTGTATGTGATGGGGGTGGGGGTGGGGTGGGGTCGAATCAGAATTGACTAGCTTTGCTTTTTGGACCTTTGAAGTGAACCTTTTGATATAGCAATAGTGGCGTTATAAAGTTATCGGATGGGCGTATATTTTGCATGTTATTGTGCATGTATGAGGTTCCATGTATACGTTGGCGTGGACGTAAAGGAACCCTTACCAGTTAAAATGGAAATAAGAGTAGGTCGCAGTGCCACCGTCCATTCAAAATTTCCCTGCATGGCGTATGTCCGTCTTTATTAGCCCAGATGGAACAGAAAAGTATGACGTTAAACCCCATTTCATAAAATTTCATTCCATTTATTTTTCTTTGTTTTCAGCGACATTTATTGTGAAACAAGATTTTTATATGTATAAAAGTGGTATTTATCGATATTCCAATCTGACCTTAGATGATGACCCCGAACAAAGTAACACAGGATATCACTCCGTTCGAATAGTTGGGTAAGTTAAACCATATGTGTCTTCACGTTAATATTAATAAATAAAATATTCGACTTTATTTTGGAACCTTATTATGAATTGAACATGTGGAATTATGTCCAAAAACTGTGACGGTATAGAAACTTATGAATTTTAAAGGAGTCGGGCCAAATTCTCGTGTCCCGAGCGGCTTAATATAGCGTGGATGACATTTATATATTAGAAACCTTTATCGTAGTCATGTACATTTATCTGAAGGTCCTTGGAATTCCCTAAAGATACATTCCCACGAAAGTATTTATCGGGCCGTTATTTCCAATAAAAGTATGGCAAATTTAGTATATATGGAAAGTAAAGACGCCCAATCTTACTAGATATAAACTTGATTACCCGAAAAACACCCATGGGGAAATAGTCTCTATCATCGTTGAAGACTAGGAGGTTCTGGGTGACCGAGACTAATGGGGCAAGTATTGGGCAAAAATATCAGGGTATCACTAACTGGCAACCCGACGACTTATTGTCTGTCAGCTTGACCTAGGGAGCGGTTGATATTTCTTGATCGAATGGTTAGGCGGTTTTGGGAACATTTGGGGGAGTAAACGTATAACAGACTCTGCAATTAACGGTCGGAAAAAGAAGTTGGCACAAAATAATTCAAGAATTTACTTAGGCCTGATCGAATGGTTAGGCGGTTTTGGGAACATTTGGGGGAGTAAACGTATAACAGACTCTTCAATTAACGGTCGGAAAAAGAAGTTGGCACAAAATAATTCAAGAATTTACTTAGGCCTCAATATGTTTGGTAAATGGACAATAAGTAATGACAAATACATTCTGAAAAAGGGGCCCTCCCTAAATCAAGTTAGGACACAAACATGCCTTCTAGCTTAGGATATCTTCTCACGAATATACAGTTTTGAGAGAGATTGGAAGCAAATTTTTGATTGATTAAATAATTTGAATATGTTTTTAGTCAAAATATATCATCGAAGCACACAGGTTGTACGCGGGAAGGTATCTTTAAATGAGTTACGTAAATACGATAAACAAATCAAGAGATAAATTCAGAAAGTCTCAATATAATGAGCTGGACATTTTAAATAAGCTATTTAGGCTATTTCTCACCATTTTTGCATTCAATTTGTATATTTAAACCCACTTTTATAAACCTAAAATCTGACACTATCGGTATAAGGTGCAAGCCAAGATTTATTATCTCCCTTTAAAAAAAATTGTTATTACCTTAGGCATATAAATGCATTATCCCAACCACAGACGTCTTATCACAGTTGGAGTAAACTGGAATACAGTCACCCATGCACAGGAAACAATTCTATGGAATACAATTGCTGTTGATTACAGAGCAACGTTTTCACTAGAATTCTCGAAAAACAAGACTCAAATTACTGTTTATTATCGAGTAAAATTTTGGGGTCTTCGCACCATTGACACAAAAAGGGTCCTTCCTTAAGAAGCTTTGCGAGAGATACTGACGGTCAAAATATTAGTTGTTTATTGGAAACAGAATTTATTCAATTTTTAGAATAATATCCAATAAAAACTGCAAAAAGATTTCGGGGCTTCGCTCCCTAGACCCAGAAAGGATCTTTGAACTGATGGCTACAAAATGGTGGTAGAATTGTAAACTATTTCAACAACAGTAAAAGAGTGGAAATTTGCTGTTTTGAGGTCTTACTCTCGGTGGCTTTACTCGCGACCTACGGTCGATCCCCAATACTCCTGCTGTTCTTCTGACCAGGAGGCCCGCAATTTGGTTTCTTTACTTCTAATGTGCCAATATAAAAACTTAATGTCATTTTTATGTAAACAGATGTGGGTGTAGATGAAAAAGTTGAAGGAGATATATTATTTAAATCTATTTGTTATGTTAATTTATAGATGGGGTGTAGACAGAACAATAGATGGCGATATATTTAAATACTGGGTAAGTTTCAATTATCTCACCTTGTCATGTTGGAAATATAATTCAAGTGTCAAATTCTAAAAATTTTAATAATTGATTTAACAACAATTATATTCACCTATTGCAAAACAAGTATTTTGCTGCATAAAATGTATCCTACGGTTATGATGGTGGATTAAATAGGTCTATATTTTCAACCTGGAATTTGACAGTACAAAATGCTACATAAGACACCCTCGTTAAACCATAATTATCTCCGCAATTGTTCATAGTTCACATATTTTGCGACCTATTGTGTGGTACGGATACCAAATTCAGAATGATGGGCTTTTGGGGATCTATACAATCTGATTAAAATACAGATCTATATTTCGTTTCGTTTATTTATACTTTCGATGGCCTACACTACATGGAGATCTGGCCAGTTGTACTGGACGGTCTCTTCAGGGGTCAGACATTGATTAATCAATCAGCGTTGACGTTTCTAGTGCTTTACCCACCGTCTCGTGCATCGCACGCTAAGAACTCGCCGTAACAGGTCGTTTGATTGGCTAATCCCTCACTGCAATCAGAACGCCGGTAATATAACAACTCTTCCAGATCCTAGTGTAGTAAAGACAAGTAAAACGAAATTTTGAACTATACTAAACGAAACGAAATAGGATCTGTGGTTTAATCAGATTAGGATCTATACAATGATAGCATAACATTATATAGGCATATTCACTTTAATCAAATGAAATTTTGCTGATTACAGATCTGTGCTAATTCCTGGGGTACCAAGTGGGGTAAAGATGGCTACTTTAACATACTGAGAGGATCTAACGAATGTGAAATTGAAAAGTACATTGTCGGTGTTTGGGGTAAGATTTCTGGTGACGCTGCTCTCAGGCGTCTGCTCAGCAGAACTCAACGACGTCGTCTGCGAGGTGAAAAGAATCTTCGAAATCTCCGCCATCCACGGAGATCGGGTCGGAAGCGACGTAACAGAAAAAATCGTGGAGGAAAGAAAAAGAATAAGAGTAAGAAAAACCGACGAAAACGGAAACAAATGAAAAGCGAAAGTAGTTAATTGTTATTGTATATCTAGTCTTTTATATTGTTATTCTTTATTATAATATACATTGCATATATTGCAGCATTAGTTTACTTATATAGATTATATTTGTTATTAATTCAAAGTATTGTAATAGTCGTATTTGTAAATACTTTTATAGGTTATAGCATTTATGTATAATTATAACGACGTCAATTTATAAGGCAAAAGAAAGAAATTAAAACTCACTTTATTACACGACAATTTATTCATAGGGCTGCAGAAAGTTATTATTTTTTTCAAGCAAAACTTGAATAATTTTAACGAGATTAGTTTTAGAGGAAAAGAAGAAACTAAAACACGATATTTTTCAGGAAAAGTGTCTTATATTTACGACATATTATTCATAGGGCAACAGACAGAGATCGAATGATATTATTTTTTCAAGTAAAACTCAGTGTATAATTTTAACTACATTCATTCTTTGGGCAATAGAAAGAAAGTAAAACTGTTATTTTTCAGGAAACACGTCTTTTATTAAATGACGTTTTATTCTTAGGGCAACAAAAAATGATTGATTACGTTGTTGGGCATGATATTTGTTTTTCAATCAAAACCCGTGTAAAATTATAAAGAAATTAATTCATAAGGATACAAGAATGAAATTTACACGTGCTATTTTCCAAGAGAATTATCTTTTATTTAAACGAAAATTTATTCAAATGACGACAGAAAACGATCGAATACGATGTTGTTCACAAGATATTGTTTTAAACATAAAACACGTGACTAAAGTAAGATGGTCGACCAGTTTTCATTTTACTACAAGAAACCAAATAAACTTAATATCCACAAAGGTGTGGCACTTTGTGTTGTTTTTTTAGTATCATACTCAGTGATTTTCGGCAAAACGAGCATTATCGATAAAGTTTCGTGAGATATTTGGGTACATCTAATCGTATAGACGCGAATACAAACTTACAATGCAAATATAGTGACAAAAGTGTGCAACACGATATTAAAGGGACAATAACACTCTTGCTGGCTTCACAGCTCCAGAAAATAAAAAAATAGCCTTATTCTAAGTACTAGATGTGTTAGTGTCCTACCTGTTGTATAAATTATCCATTAAATCCTATTTTACTTGTCCAGAGGGTTCAAAAATATTTTTAAATCCAAGTAAAATTTGAAAAGCTTTACGTCAGGCTTTTCAAATCATTTAGTTGAATTTTTCCAATTTTTTAAATTAGGTGTGTTAAGATGAAATTTATATCATTAATTAATTGGAATATTGTAAAATAGTACAATTTGTTGACCAGAATAAAGATTGGGACATATTATTCAGTTACAACAAGAGTGGTATTGAGCCTTTAAAGTATACATTTAATGATAAAAATACAAGTTTGGAAGACAACGATTTTATATATTTATGTTAATATATATTTAATCTACCAAAGATATTCTTTATAGATAGAATTTTTGTGTATCTCGCATTTCGTTTTTAGTAATAAATTGTTTCTTAAAGTATGTTTGTTGGCTGGGTTGGTGGAATCAAAATTATGTCCGCTGTATCCAGATGATGGTACAAAAGTTTTTGTAGACGAATATATATGGTCTAGCTCACATATTCCAGAAAAACAGAATATTAGAATCATAAAAGCCACCAAATTATTAAAGATACATTATGGGAGATTCGATAACGAGTTGGCAGTTTCCACTATAATAGTTAAAAACTAGATAATGTAAAAGCAGTTTGCTGAAAATTTCATTCAAATTGATCCACTGTGAACCGAGAACTAAGCGGTTGAAATTTCCGCCTAGCCTCGATCACCATTACTAAAGTCAGTACGATAAACAGCATAGTCTCGATTATCCATTTAATCGTTAAATCGTGAAGGAAAGTTATACAGTAAATCGGCTCATAATCCACTAAAGGTCACAGCTAGCTATGCCATCTAGAGTTGATTATGGTCTGGATAGGTTAATTTATGTCTAATTAATAATTTAGATAACATTTCAGGCCTAAAGAAAGACCTGCAATAGACAGATTTAGCTCTTGCATAATGTATGTTTAATGTTTTGTTTTATAATTCCACATCATTTCTGGGGACTTTAAATTATGTAGCCATGACTGAATATAAACGCCATGTAGATGTAATGAAATGAAATGGGGTTTAACTTCCTACTCTGCTTCTCCGACTGGGCTAATGAAAAGGGGCATACGCCATACAGTGTGCTATGAGGAACATTTTGCGCGGACAGCGAGTTATTTCGAGTTCCAACTACCAAGGTTTCTTTTACGTACACGCCAATGCATACACGGGGTCTCGGCTTTTCGTCCCATTCGAACGACTAGGAAAACCACGCCGGAAAATCCAGATGAACTTATTCGGTCAACACTAAGATCGAACAAGATTTGCCCATGTACTGTGACATCACTTCCTACGGGCCCGTACCCACCTCATAAAATTTTTTGGAGGGGCTGAGGATGTGGCCGGCTAAGAACGCTCCAAAGAAATCATTATTGTTGGCGAAATATTTGGGGGGGAAGGGCTAATTTGATTTGGGGGGGGGGGGGGGGCTAAGCCCCGCCATAGCCCCTCCCCCCTCCACCCCCGTGGCTACGGGCCTGACTTCCTATATCATATGTCCAGATTCCAAGCATTGAAATATTTAACTTCGTCTGCAAACAACTGACCGTAAGAATATATGTGGTAAATCTTCTATATAAATACATGTAAAATCAAAGATATCTCTGTGTGTATATGTTTGCCAATCACGCTTCCTCGCCGCGATCCACGCCCACATAATGTGGTATCAAATTAACCAACTCGACACCGTAAATGTTTTAATTTATCGAATTTGGGCCCCGGGCGAATTTGGACCTCGGACGAATTAGCTTCGTGCTTCGTCGTTGCGATCCACCCAAACATAATAATATGTGTTATCAAATTAACCAGCATGACCCCATGAATGTTTTAGGCCATCGAATTTGGACCCCAGGCGAATTTGCCCACACCCCCACCCCCGCGAATTTGGGCACAGGGCGAAGTCGAGTATCCTGCTGGTAATTATTATATAAAGCAGCAGATATTACAAAGTATTAAACGATCTTAAATTGGCAAGATTAATAATAACCAATTTTACTAATAAAAAGTTCGGCCAAAAAATAACCTAAAAAAAACGAATCTCCCAGAAACCAAGGAAAAACAATTGATCACTCTTTATTCAAAACACAAACACAAATAGTTTATTTATCCGTCATTGTCGGTTTCTAATTCAAAGGACTCCTAATGTTTCCCTTTAAATCCTGACAGCGGCTGTTGTTGGATCATATCGACAGTGAAAATGGTGGGGGTGATCCACAAAAACTCCACCAGTCTCATTCTAATAACCTTTCTATACAATGACTCTGGGTAATGCCCGTGTCTAGATAATGCTGATAGGATAGGTTCTCTTTAACAGGTTTTCATTAGGACGAGAATGTGTAGTCAAAAAGACTAATTTGAAATTTTCCACCATATAGGGTGCTCTTCCTGGATCATAATCAGCCCCGTCCGTGTCTTTAACCAAAGATAGATACCTGTAAATGTATCAATCCAAACACCATTACATGGAAGGAAAGAGGATTTAATTTTGGATTTACTTCAGTTTGAATCGCAACATGCAGACGGATCGAACGTTAGACAAGGGGAATCAATCTCATTTTCACACCAGCACGAAATAGAATCTGTATTTTAAAGGACAATAATGGTGTCAGCCATTATCACATATGTGACGAAAGCAATAGGAAAACACCAGTTATCCTTCTATATAACTGACTGAAGTGACGAGTGATTACAGGTACATGGACGAATTTCTGCTCCCTAATAATTCCTATGAAGACCAAAAGTTGTTATATGAGCCATAGGGAGGATATCTGACAATTTAAAAAAATAATTGTCTTTCACTAGAGAAAACGAAAAAAATAGAAAAATTAGTGCATTACCATGTTTTATTAAGTATAGAATGAATAAAAACAAGGGAATGTACGGACTATTTCTACGTGTATTTTTCTCGTTTTCTCTTATCTAGCGAGGAAGGGATAGATGGGAAGTAGTACAGGAAGGGAGCCCATTTCTCACAGCACTACAATGGGAGGTAGCAGAGGAAGGGAGAACATTTCTCACAGTACCACAATACGAGGCAGTAGATGGTGGAGGGCATTCTTCATTGAATGTTACTTACTTCTCGTCCTTAAAAATACTTTTGTCCAGCAGAGCATCCATTAACCCTTTCTGTATTTCATCAAATGCGTCAACACAGACTTGAAACATATCCACCTCATTCATATCTAGTATAAATGGTTTACCAAACCTTAAACAAAAAGTACATTGCTATTCCAAACTACAATATTGTGATAGTTGAATCTCTATTAGGTAGGGGGGTTGGATGGCTGAATGGTTAGCGTGCACGCGCTGTATCATAATGTCTGTCATTGAATCCCCGGTTGTACGTGGCAAGGAGTAGGGTCGCCTATCCAACCTCGTGGGTTTTCTCCGGGTCCTCCGGTTTCCTCCCACTGCTAAAGACCCCTACGCGCAAGCGAATTATGTAAATAAAATTAAACCATATATTAGTCCCGAAATGACCTACTTTGTGTCGAGTGGACGTTAAACCCCATTTCTCTCTCTCTTTCTATTAGGTATATCAGTCCAAAAATGGGTCATTTCAGTTCAATATTTACAAAGAGATGACAAATTGGAAATTCCATCTATCGATGCTCCTCCCTATGTAACAAAACACCCATCATTTGTATTTGCCGTGAACCGAATTGATTTTGTTCTTAATTAAATGTTAAATTATCAATATTGGTGTATATTAGCGTGAATTAAGCCGTGAGAAATGTGATATTTTCCGAAATATGCAAATTATGCATTATTACTTTACGTCCATTAAGAGATTTTCGATGGAAGGAAAGCCAAGTTCGTTCGCTGACAAAAGAATACAGCAAGTCTCGATGGCTTTTAACAGACGTATCAGACTGCAGTTTGAAACTAATCGGTTTGTGGTCTTTTATACATATACATACTTCATGGCACCAATCAACGCCATCCTGATAGTCTCTGGTTGCATGTCGTGTTTCTCCAGACAATTAATCATATTTGTATCTCGGTACTTTAAAAATGTGGACGCCTGCCCGACAGTATCAACAACAAAGGGCCACCTAAAAGAGAATATAAAACACACATAATGATTTGTCTTGTCCTTGTTCCATACATGTACATTTATTTATATCCACAAGATTCGGGGTTGATGTGGACCCATATGTACATCACTACTATCTGTGACGTAGACAAATTCAGTGGAAATTGCAGCAGGCATCACGTATGGTGGCTGAAAGCGTCCATTTAGATCGGCGGGTTTCTAGATACAACGCGAGAGTCGCCGTTAAGCCAGCACGACGAAAAAGGCGCCGATCGGCGACTTTTTCGTCGTACTACCTTATCGGCGACCCGCGACTTTCACAACACGAGAGTCGCCGTTAAGCCACGCGCCGAAAAAGTCGCCGAAAAAATCGGCGCTTTTTTCGGCGACTTGCTTAACGGCGACTCTCGCCTCGGAAGTTTATAGTTAGTTACATGCGCAATGGCTACATTTTACGCACACAGATCACCAAATATTTCTACGCCGTAATGTAGGGCGAAAGTTATTTTTAGTCTTTCTCTCCCTTTCCCCCCTTTTGCATGGCGATTTTTGGTGTAGAATCGAAGAAATGGGTTTGAAAATACATTTTCTGCTAGGTTTTGGTGAATATTCATGATTTTGAGAGGTCGGTTAGGTTGAAATGTAGGGCCGAAAATTGCATGTTTACTTGTCCCTACTTCCAGCTTGTGTATTTCAAGATTTTCATGGTAAACCTCATACATGCTTTTGTGCAAGAGTTTGCCACATTTTGCTCCATCTGTGGCAGAAAGTAGGCTAGCCTACAAGTCCTAACTCATCCAAAAGCTCCTCCATTTTATATACAAGAAGTAAAATGTAGCCATTGCGCATGCAACTAACTATAAACTTCCGAGGCGAGAGTCGCCGTTAAGCAAGTCGCCGAAAAAGGCGCCGAAAAGGGCGCCGATTTTTTCGGCGACTTTTTCGGCGCGTGGCTTAACGGCGACTCTCGAGTTGTATCTAGAAACACGCCGATCTAAATGGACGCTTTCAGCCACCATAATCACGGATCAAAACCAACTGTCCATTCTCAGGACTCATTCTCAGCACAAGTCGCACTATCCAGCATTGCCATTAATGTGAACTGCAAGGGAAGACAACTCTGTTTGGGAGATTGCTTAGGACTACGGGTACGGTTTATATATGTACAAAATCACATTATTCCTGAGTTTACTCTTGCAGGCAAAATATATACATGTATTGTCAAACTGAAATGTTATGAATGAAACTTACTTTCCAGATTCTTTAACCTTATCGTGGACATCGTCCATTATAACTTTGCCTATTTCTTTCAGTTGGATCTTAATTCCAGGCAGGTTATCGACGTCTTCACCTTAAAGAATATGGAACAAATGAAATAATGTCATGTGTAATTTCCATACTTTTCTGCAGTACCAACCGGGCTAAATAAAAACAGGAAAACGCCCTAAAGCGTGCTATGATGGGTATTTTGCCCCGACAGCGGCGTCATGGTCTACTCGTTAATTTCCAACTGGCCGTTGATTTTTTAACGTTTTGCCAATGGTATACACTGGACCACGGATGATCGTCCCACCCGAACAACTAGAAACTCCATCTTACCAGGCAATCCATCCAGCACCACCCACAACGGGAAATCAGACTGGACAATCATACGAAACAGGATCAAACCCGGGACCTGCTGATTAGTAAGCCAGTACCTTACTCATCCAGTCACTATACTTCCAAATACAACAAAGACATATACAAATGTGGCCCATTGTAAATCAGAGGCGGTTAGTGTTCCTGAATTAAGTAAGTATATCCTGCCTCGTGTAGACATCTGCCACAGCTATTAGTTATGGAACCAAAACTAGACAGACTTTATGGACACTACAAGAAGGGGGACATTTTAGAAAGGGAAATCTCCAAAATAAAAACAATGAGTTTATCACAATTCGGTGATCAGTAACCGTTACCGGTCTGGTGCGAAAAAATGGGACGTTAAACCCTATTTCCTTTATATTAACAAATACACTTCCCATCCAAAACACAAACAAGATAAATAAAATCAGACCTGTAGCCATATTGAAATATTTGCGTTCCTTCTCTATGGATCACCGTCCTAGTCTCCCAAAAATCAAATTTGTAGATTATTGTTTAGTAATGGCCACTCTCACAATGATCTACACATAAACTGGCCTTTATGCATGTGTATGATTATTTTTGATCTTATACTGGTCACAATAAAACATGCCCCGTTGTCAAAGAGACGGTTCTAACGTCATAATAATCTACAGTGATCGAGTTGGCTTAATACTGATTATAAATAACCGGGAGTTTATATACTTATAAGTTCTAAATCATATCAATCATTAGCTTAATATAAAAAATCCCCTAGTAAAGATTATTCATGGTTGACTAGACGTATTACAATTTTGTGTGAATATTTATACCGTATGGCAAATTCGAGCATTGTTTAAATGATATCAGATTCCAATAAATGATATCACATTCAAAGTACAACAAACATTGAACGTTTGGTGTGTGTGTGTGGGGGGGGGGGGGGTCGGGGGTCGGGGGTCGTGGGAGGTGGGCCGAATGGTTAGCACGTGCGCGCTGCGCTGTATCATACGGTCTGTCATTGAATCAACTGGCGGGGTTTCGAATCCCCGGTTGTACGTGACAAAGAGTAGGGTCGCCTGTCCAACCTCGTGGGTTTTCTCCGGTTTCCTCCCACTGCTAAAGACCCCTACGCGAAAGCGAATTATTGAAATAAAATTGAACCATGTGTTAGTCCCGAAATGACCTAGTTTGTGTCGAGTGGACGTTAAACCCCATTTCTCTCTCTCTCTCTCTGAACGTTTGGTTATAAGAATAGATTTCATAACCAGTATTTTAACCAAATTAAAGGCATTCTCACGAGAATATAGTGATAAATGTTAAGGCCAGGGAACAGTTACCCAGCCCTGATGAAATACCATTAAGTTGGGGGCCATTTTAGTTTTCTCAGTTTTATGTATCTAATTCGTGCAGTCGGCTCTATATCCATGCGGGTTTTTTTTTTTTTGGGGGGGGGGGGGGGTTCACCTCATGTAATGTTCCTGCAATGTCTATTTTCTTAGGTGAAATAAAATGAAATGAAATGGGCTTTCACGTCCTACTGTTCTGTTCCTAACCTGGGCTAATCAAGACGGGCATACGCCATACAGTGTGCTATGAGGGAAATTTTGCCCGGGCAGCAGCGCTACGGCCTACTCTTATATCGAATTCCAACTGCCATGGGATCTTTTACGTGCACGCCAATGTGCACACGGGATCTCGGTTTTTCGTCCCATCCGAACGACTAGACAGCTGTCCTTGTCAGGCCCTCCATCCAAAATCGGATAAAAATTGTGACCTCTATAGGGTCCACAACCTTGATATACCACATTTTTTACGCTATTTGAGAACGAAGGGCGGCCATTTTGTCTGTCAGTTTTGGGCTGAATTTCACGAAATTCGAACTCAGCCGTCCTTAGGGTGTAACGTTGATATAATAATACGATTTTTTAAATCGGATAAAAATTATGACCTCTATAGGGTCCACAAGCTAAAAACGCGATTTTCCGTACAATCAGGGGCCATAATTCAGGAAGTTACGGTCCGATATGCGCAAATATCGAAAGGAACTGAGATCTTAGGGTTATAAACTTACATGTCAATTTTCAACAAAATCGGATAAAAATTGTGACCTCTATAGGGTCCACAACCTTGATATACCATATTTTTACGCTATTTGAGAACGAACGGCGGCCATTTTGCTGTCAATTTTGGGCCGATTTCCACGAAATTCGAACTCAACCTCCCTTAGGGTGTAACGGTGATATAATAATACGTTTTTGTTTAATCGGATAAAAATTATGACCTCTATAGGGTGCACAAGCTAAAAACGTGATTTTTCGTACAATCAGGGGCCATAATTCAGGAAGTTACGGTCCGATATGCGCGAATATCGAAAGGAACTGAGATCTTTGGGTTATAAACTTACATTTCAAGTTTCAACAAAATCGGATAAAAATTGTGACCTCTATAGGGTCCACAAGCTAAAAACGTGATTTTTCGTACAATCAGGGGCCATAATCCATGAAGTTTCGATCCGATACATGCCAATATCGAAAGCAGCCGAGATCTTTTGGGGATAAACCTATATTTCAAGTTTCGTCAAAATCGGATAAGAATTGTGACCTGTAGAGAGTCCACAAACAATTGTGGACGGACGGACGGACGGACGTCCGGACGGACAGGGGCGACGGCATAATACGTCCACATGAAAATGTGGGCGTATAAAAAATAACTTGGTATGGGACGGTTGGGGCGTCTGATGGTCTTGCCATACCAGTGTCGCTGTGTCGCCTATAGGCCGCAATTCTTAATGAATCGTCTTGAAAACTTGTCACACTTATTCCTTATACCCTAGGAATGACCTAAATTATATGTGTCACCAACAGGCCAACATTCTTAACAGATCCTTTAGAAACTTTATGTAAGATTTAGATAAAGAACTAGCCATTCTTGCTATAATAGTTCGAAAGTAGATGATGTAAAATGAATAATTTGAAAATTTCATTCAAATTACTCTATTGCAAGCGAAGATATTAGCCTTTGACAAAGCCTTTGAAGGTTTGACAGACGTGTGTGCAATAATTTCAACCACCGTACTGGTTGATCGAAGCTAAGTCTCTGTCCTCCATATTATTTGATTAAATCAAAGTATCGCTGAACTATTCTAATCTATTTAATATCGGAGAAATCTGATGCCATCGAGAGTTGATTAAGGCCTGGATTAGTTAATTAATGTCTAATTAATACTTTTGAAAACATTTTAGGCCTAAAGAAAGACCTGCAATAGGCAGATTTAGCTCTTGCATAATGCATGTTTAAGCGCAGGGGCAGAGCTGCGCCCATTTTTTCTTTGTGTGTATGTGGGTTGTCTACAGACCATAATTCTTAATGGATCGTCTCGGAACTTGGCATATGTATGCCTTATAGCCTACGGACGGCAATTATCGATTCTGGTGCATGTCCCGGCCCACAAGGGCAGAGCCACGCCCATTTTTTTGTGTTTATCGTATGCAGGCCGCAATTGTGAATGGATTGTCTTGCAGCTTGGTATATGTATTCCTTATAGCCTAAGGGTGCAACTATTGGTTTTGTACATGTCCCAATCGCCTGAATTTTTGTGTTTAGCCCTAAGGCCAGAATAATGAATTATCTTGGAACTTGGTATACTTATTTCTTATACCCTAAGGAGGGCAACTATTGATTTTGGTGCATGGTCTGCGCCCCTTGATAGGTGCCACACCTACATTTTGTTAATATTTTGTCTGTAAATAATCTGCATGTTGGAATTACATGTAATAACAGATTTGGATCCAATTCGGCATGATCAATCATAGGGATGAACCTATTTATATTGTTCCATATCCACCCCCAAGGGAGAGAGCCACGCCCAATTTTTATGTTTATCGTTTATTTATCGTTGTAATTCTGAATGGATCATCTTGGAACTTTGCATATTTATTCCTTATACCGTAAAGACAGCAACTATTTAATTTGGTGCATGCCCCGACCCCCTGGGGCAGTGTCACACCATCTTTTTTATTCCATGTCCAACCCCGAGGGGCAGAGTCACGCCCAATTGTTGTGTTTATCGTCTACAGACTGCAAGTCAGAATGGATCATCTTGGAACTTTGCATATTTATTCCTTATACTGCAAAGACAGCAACTATTTATTTTGGTGCATGTCCCGACCCCATGGGTCGGTATCACGCCCACTTTTTTGTTAATATTTAGTCTGTAAATTTGGCAAAACAAATCCAACGCCTAGCCTTCTTTGCCTCCTGTCATATTACAGCCATTGCAGCCATTTCATATTTCATTCTAAAGCAGAAATGTGGACTTATATTGCAGTGGTACCGATGCTCTAGTATCATGTGCTACCAATAATATATAGGAGGACTGGGTGGTCGAGTAGTTTAATGCTTGCGCTTTAGACCATAAGATATGTCACTGAATCAAGTGGGTTGGTTTTGATTCCAATCTTGACAAGGATTAGGGTCGCCTGCCAAAGCTTGTGGGTTTTCTCAGGATCCTACTGGATTCCTCCCACTGCTAAAGATCTATACGCGCATGCAATTTATTGAAATAAAAATATGGATGTCAATCCCCAAATAATATATTGTACCCTTTCATGGACACCTATCTGAAAGGGAGAGAGAGAGAGAGAAATGGGGTTTAACGTCCACTCGACACAAACTAGGTCATTTCGGGACTAACATATGGTTTAATTTTATTTCAATAATTCGCTTGCGCGTAGGGGTCTTTAGCAGTGGGGGGAAACCAGAGGACCCTGAGAAAACCAACAAGGCTGCACAGGTGACCCTACTCCTCGTCACGTACAATCGGGGATTCGAAACCACGCCAGTTGACTCAATGACAGGCCTTATGATACAGCACGCACGTGCTAACCATTCGGCCACCCAACCCCCCCTATCTGAAAGGGTCATAAATAGAACTAAGAGTTCTGATTGTTAATATTTTAAATATCACAATACATCGTACAAGTATCAAGGTGATATCAAATTAAAAATGTTTCTCTCTATAGCTACAACATAGAAAAAGAAAAAAAATATTACATCCGACAAGTCCATCCATGTTACTGTAACAATGTTTCGAGGTATTATCAGCTCATTAAAGCATGTTTACTATTGCTTCCGGCATTTCAAATAAACCATAAATTGCACGGTTACTTTAGAAGAATATGAAATAATGAATTGACGAAAAATCATTAACAGTAATGGGATAAGTTAGATTAATATATTTCCTATTTCTATGAGTATATATCAACATAATATAATATGACAAATGACAATAATAATGCAATCAATAGATTAACAATATATTAATAATAAATATCACAGATTATGTTTGGCAGGATTAACATAATGCCTTTATATATTAGCCTTAATAACACTTCATAAAACAATGTTCATAGAGTAAATTAATAAAACACTTAAAACATTCCACACCTTTCCCAATAAAATCCACTATTAACACATTTAAAATGATACAACCTCTTTGATTTGGGGGGAAAAAACAACTAATTATTGATTTAATTAAATTTAATCTGTGGTTTTGTTTGGCAGGTTGTAGTACATCTATATTTTAAGTTTATTTTCGATCAACAGATAAAGGTAATATTATTAGGTATAACTGATTTTGGGTTTTACAGTTTAATCCAAATCCTAACTAAAATTTCTTAACAAACCCACATTAGGTAAATCTGTCAGAATGATATATCACATCGGAACCCAATTCAACATATTATGTATCAACGAAAGCAGTTTTGGCTCTTTTATATGTGGAAATTTAGTTTTTAACAAATTGATGCACTGGAATCCTAATCAGAGAAAACCAACAGGGGAATTTCCCTTATGCACATTGTTAACTATCACCCTTGTTAATCTCACATGGTAAAACCACAAGAATACCTCAATTTATTTTGGTAGAATTATTCTGATTGGGTATGTCCTATTAAGTAAGCCATCATTAGGATACGAATTTGAGGTAATGAAGAAGAATTTGAAATTATCGGCCATAAAATGACGAGTTGGTTGATATTCTGCACCATCGGTTTCTTTGGTTAAAGACATGAACCTGAAAATATAGATAATAACTATTTATTTATATGGTAATTAGAGAAAATGGAACCAAGTCATTTCTATAGTAACATATAATAATCTTTATTTCATTATTCAAATCCACATGCACAACTCCTGAATTATTGGAGATGCGGATGGGGGTCAGAGAACGAGGAGCAAATCCACTAGAATTGTGGGCTTAATCTTGCACTTGAATTAATTCCAGATCTGTAATCAACATTAAGCAGAAAAAAAATGAAATGAGATTTAAGAGAGAGAGAGAAATGGGGTTTAATGTCCACTCGACAAAAAATAGGTCATTTTGGGACTAACACATGGTTCAGTTTTATTTCAACAATTCGCGTGCGTGGGAGGAAACCGGAGGACCCGGAGAAAACCCACGAGGTTGGACAGGCGACTCTACTCCTTGTCACGTACAACCAGGGAATCAAAACCACGCCAGTTGACCCAATGACAAACTTTATGATACAGCGCGCACACGCTAACCATTCAGCCATCCAACCCCCCCCCCCCCCCCATGAGATTTAAGATCTAATCAACATAATACTTTGGTACAAGGAGGACAGGAGTGTTTCTGACCACTTTCAAGGGTTCTTTTAGGTGCCTGCATATTGTGTACATGGTTGCACATCATTCTTTTTGTCCCATCCGACAAACAACTTGGCACACTCTCCTGTATATTGTGTACATGGATGGCCATCGCTTTTTTATCCCATCCGACAAACAACTTGGCACACTTTCCATGTCATCCTGCAGCGCTGACAAATATGAAAAATCCTTAAGATTCTTCTTGGACGAAACCAGGAATCAATCCTGGAACTGTGTATGATGAGATAGATTTATTGGCAGTGGTATTGAAACAACAATTTGTACAATTTAATCTCTGCCATAATTTGCTTCAATGCTCTGGCTGAGAAAGCCTTCAGTACAGTGCTTATATTTAAAAAAAAACAAAGTATCTCTCTTTACTTACTTCTCCCCCTCTAATAAACTTTTATCTAATAAAGCATCCATTAATCCTTTCTGTATTTCATCAAATCTATCTACACAAACTTCAAACATATCTACTTCCATCATATCTATTATAAACGGTTTACCAAATCTACAAAATAGAAAATGTAGTCTTGATCCTAAATAAATAACAATCATTTGAAGCCCCATCCAAACTACCAGGAAAAGACATAACATCTTTACAAATACTTCAAGGGAAACTTTTTAGTTATCTGCAAAGATCAAGGTAGCCATCAACATATGTAGGAGCGCTGTTGTCACTGGCAACATATGAGTAATACATGCATGATATCAACGGCAGATTCACTGGTTGACACTCTGTAACAATTAACTTATTTCATTTCTGGTTGACTTAAAAGGCAGTTTTTGTCTATAATTATGTCTACAAATAATATACTTTCAGATCTAAATGACCTTATTAAGTTAAGGGGACTATATCTTTAATTGGTCATCAGTAAATCAAAGCACCATATCTTCTGATGATATCTCGATATAAACAATTGATTTGGGTCAAAAGCAAAGTAAAGAGCATTAAAATTATAAAATTTCATTACAAAAGCAAAGTAAAGAGCATTAAAATTATATAATTTCATAATGGTAAACACAGTTAAAGGACTAGTGTTGAAAATCGGATAGAGATTTGTGATCCAAATACTTTTGTTTGCTATCCGAATACGTTTCGTCGGATAATTCGGAAACATGAAATTCTTGAACAAAATCACATCAAAAGTTCATATACTCATAATTTCTTACTTATTTCAATGTTTATGAGTGTCTGCGTATGCCGAGTATGAAATCTTACTTTCGATTTGCAAATTGTTTGAGCCGCGAAGAAAAAAACGACCTACCTTTAGCCGCAATTATTAAGACTATTCATGATATCCAAAAAAATCAACGCGGTGAATAAATTTGTGTATAACTACTCCTGTAATCCGCGGCCCTCCCACTTATCATTTTTGCTCAATCAACACGAATGAAGAAAGTAAAATAAAAACATTTAACATTTATTCCGCCAAGGTCGTTTGCCTCATTCTGATAATCTACTGCTATTGAACCAATCAGTAAGTGAGAATATACGTGACCTAGGTCGTTATGAATAAATTACAGTGAGGGAAGTCTAAACACAGTGTTAACTTGTATCCCGTAAACGGAGGCAGACCACCATTAATTTCCCCATTGACTTCAATGTTAATTCTGGCCTCTTTGCCCACCTCCAACTTTTCCCCAAATTTTCGTTGGGCTGAATGCTTTTCACTACAGACAGAGGAACAAATGGTCATGTCTTTGCACTAAAATTTGTATGAGGTTGACCACCAAAATTTTGAGATACACAAACTTGAAGAAGCATACTAAAAACATGTAACTAGTTGCCGTACATATCGCCGTAGCTAACCTGATAACCCTCTTATCCTTCCGCCTCAAAATCATGAATATTTACCAAAACCTGGCAGAAAATGTTAATTCAAACCATCTTCGTCCATTCTAGACCAAAAAATCAACACAAATGGGCATGCAAAAGGGGAGAAAAGAGAGAGAGAGAGAATTGCTATAAGTAGACGAACAAGATGAAATTTAATGGTGGTCTGCCTCCAAACCCAAGAAGTAGCTTCTATCTAGCGTAAACCAGCGCGAGGAATGAATGAATATTTTTTTTATTTAGACTACTGTTTTCGTTGCACTGCATTAATATTTTTATTAGTTAATACTATCGCTAAATAATACGTGTGATATTAACATTTATGCTCAAAGCTGCGTACGTGATCAATAGCATTGGGGAAAATTTCAAAGTAATCAGATGTAAAAATGGCTAAATATAGAGCATAGGGAATGTCAGAATATATTGTAACGAATAGTAAACGGATAGTAAAATGATTTGGATAACCCTTATTTTGTATCCGTTAACGGATATCCGAATAGTAGTTTCAACACTATAAAGGACCATCTTGAAACATACCTAATAGCACCAAGTAAAGCCATCCTGATAGTCTCTGGTTCCATGTCAACTGGTCTTAAAGCATTTAGCATATTTGTATCTCTATAACGTAAAAATATAGCGGCCTGTCCACTGGTATCAATAATAAAAGGCCACCTGAAATAAAAGAACAATATGTACTTGTAGCAGCTATAATACTAAAGCTAAAAAGAAATGAAATGAAATGGGGTTTAACATCCTACTTTCTGGAAAAACTGGGCTAATAAAGATAGACAAGATGGACATACAAGGGAGAGAGAGAGAGAGGGAGAAATGGGGTTTAACATCCACTCAACACAAACTTGGTCATTTCGGGACTAACATATGGTTCAATTTTATTTCATTAATTTGCTTGCGCGTAGCACAGGGAGGAAACCGGATGACCCGGAGAAAGCCCATGAGGTTGGACAGGCAACCCTACTCCTTGTCATGTACAGGCTGGGAATCGAAACCATGCCACTTGACTCAATGACAGACCTAATGGTGCTACGCGCACACTTTAACCATTCAGCCACCCAACCCCCTGGGCATACAAGGGCTGGCTGAACAGTTCTAAGCCTAAACCCCCAAACATACAAGGGCTTACTCTCGGTGGCTTTACTCGCGACCTACGGTCGATCCCCAATACTCCTGCTGTTCTTCTGACCAGGAGGCCCGCAATATGGTTTCTTTACCTCTGATGTGCCAATATAAAAACTTAATGTCATTTTTATGTAAACAGATGTGGGTGTAGATGAAAAAGTTGAAGGAGATATATTATTTAAATCTATTTGTTATGTTAATTTATAGATGGGGTGTAGACAGAACAATAGATGGCGATATATTTAAATACTGGGTAAGTTTCAATTATCTCACCTTGTCATGTTGGAAATATAATTCAAGTGTAAAATTCTAAAAATTTTAATAATTGATTTAACAACAATTATATTCGCCTACTGCAAAACAAGTATTTTGCTGCATAAAATGTATCCTACGGTTATGATGGTGGATTAAATAGGTCTATATTTTCAACCTGGAAGTTGCCAGTACAAAATGCTACATAAGACACCCTCGTTAAACCATAATTATCTCCGCAATTGTTCATATAGTTCACATATTTTGCGACCTATTGTGTAGTACGGATACCAAATTCAGAATGATGGGCTTTTGGGGATCTATACAATCTGATTAAAATACAGATCTATATTTCGTTTCGTTTATTTATACTTTCGATGGCCTACACTACATGGAGATCTGGCCAGTTGTACTGGACGGTCTCTTCAGGGGTCAGACATTGATTAATCAATCAGCGTTGACGTTTCTAGTGCTTTACCCGCCTTCTCGTGCATCGCACGCTAAGAACTCGCCGTAACAGGTCGTTTGATTGGCTAATCCCTCACTGCAATCAGAACGCCGGTAATATAACAACTCTTCCAGATCCTAGTGTAGTAAAGACAAGTAAAACGAAATTTTGAACTATACTAAACGAAACGAAATAGGATCTGTGGTTTAATCAGATTAGGATCTATACAATGATAGCATAACATTATATAGGCATATTCACTTTAATCAAATTAATTTTGCTGATTACAGATCTGTGCTAATTCCTGGGGTACCAAGTGGGGTAAAGATGGCTACTTTAACATACTGAGAGGATCTAACGAATGTGAAATTGAAAAGTACATTGTCGGTGTTTGGGGTAAGATTTCTGGTGACGCTGCTCTCAGGCGTCTGCTCAGCAGAACTCAACGACGTCGTCTGCGAGGTGAAAAGAATCTTCGAAATCTCCGCCATCCACGGAGATCGGGTCGTAAGCGACGTAACAGAAAAAATCGTGGAGGAAAGAAAAAGAATAAGAGTAAGAAAAACCGACGAA